CTCAACATAAAGAATCCCATTATTTTTAATGGTGCCCATTCACACCTGAGCAATGTGGCCTGTTGCTTGCAGCTCGAAAGTACATGAGTGTCTTCATGCATTTAAAACTACATATCCGTCTAAGGCTACCTTGGCCCCAGGCTGCCAATATTCCTGTGGAATTTCCCAATAGAAGAGAAAGCTTTTCTACCCTATTACAGGAAGAAGAAAAAAACACAGATCTATTCTTAGGATCAACAGGTAATAATAAACTGTTAGAACTGCACCATATATGTCATTTTTTATTTTGTCCATAGGAACACTTTAGGCTTCAAACTAGTATGAACATATACCAGAGAGCCCTGCTCTTTAGATCTACCGTATTGCCATACTGTTAGATGTAAGAGAAATTTGAATTATCTGGCAGTTTTGGAATATTAAAGCTACTGCAGATTTGAAATGGTAATTTTTTAAATAAAATAATAGTCATAGTCCAACAAAAGAATAGAACTCCAAGCAAATACAGCACTAGATAAAGAAATAAGCTCCAGAGACCTTAGAAAACAAGTTGGAAAAGAACACAGCTCATTCATTAACAATTGCACATTTTAAACACCCGAGCTCTTTTATTAAATGCAGACAAGTCGAGCATTTTTTCAGTTGTAGCCCTTTCGTAATTCTGTTTTCTCCTGTTGTCCACTGAGAAGCAGAGGATTGTTAAAGTGACACTAAACTCAGGAATTAAATCTTAAAAATGCATTCAAGTACCTTAACTATCAACGACAGTGGGGTGAGTTTATCAAAATTGAAGCAGAGAGAATCTGAAACAGTTGCCATGGCAACCAGTCAGCATCCCTCTTCAGTTTGCTCAGGTAAGATTTGAAAATGAGAGCGAGAAGCTGATTGGCTGCAGTGCAAATCTGCTCCAGTTTTAATAAATACCCCCCAATGTATCTTATTTGTGTATCACCCATTTGTAGATCCTCAAATCATCTCTGAATTGGTGCCGACACTGCCCTTCCTTCTGGAGGGTGACATTTTTGTTAATAGTTAAGGTACTTGAATGCATTTTTAAGATTTAATTGCTGCGTTTAGTGTCAATTTAAAAGGTTCCTGCACTGCATAACACTCTTTAGCATTCAACACTTCCTGAAGTGTAAGATGTCTGTGACCCTCATTGTACTCTTTGGTTCCATCCTCCAAGCCTGTGTCCTGCAATGATGTAGAGTTTAGAGGAGGGAACCAATGCATGTGATGGGGGGCACAGGAATTTGACACTTCCAGAAAAATAGACTGATGAAGACTGTAGTTCTGGAACGGAGGGAAAATAGGAGATAAGGGCTGCTGGAAAGGTGAGTATAAAAGTTCTTCTAATCCTCTGGGTTTTTTTTTTAGTGACTGACAGGTAGTGACTTGCAGGTACGTCCACTGAGAGCGCTTCTTTTCCAGCCTAGTGCAGATATTCTTAAAATGGAAGTAGTGTTTACTGAACACAAGGTACACAGATAAGAGAGATTCACATTTATCAAAGAATGAGAAAAAAAAGTAGACCATTACCTTCAATCAAATGGCCCATGCAACACACATTCTGAAACCCTGTACAATTCCAATGATACAATTCTATTCTATGTGGGATTAGTACCATGTGGATACAAAGAGTGCATGGTACATTTATGGTTTTTAAATGAACCGCAACCTATCGCAAACAATCAGAATTCACATTACTAAAAGCTCACTCGTCACACTCCTGGCACTGGTTTTTTTGCAACCCTGAAAGCATAAATCTACAACTCTCACAAAAGTAATCATATTGGGTGGCAGAAAATCAAACTTATTCTAACAGCAAGAGCAGGGGTGAAAAATTGAATACAGAGGAGTCAGACACTCCAGGTGCCAACAGGGGCTTTATTGCAGATTGGAAATATATTCCTCCGTGCACAATAATAGAAAAGGATGAAAATCCTGCTACCTAATCAATATGCTGGCCTCTCCAAAATGACTGCTGGAGCCCACACCTGCACATCCAGTCAATGGTTCAAATCTTTGTGCTCCTGTTAGCACCAGGAAACCTCCGTCGTTTGAGTAAGCTTATCCTACTAATGAGAATATTTTCTCTTCTTTGCTGGCTGTCAAACTGTGGAACAGAAATGTCCTTTACATCCAATCCCAATAATTGAAAGAAGCTGCACTTTGATACGTGTCACCCAAGAGTACAGAACTTTACCAATGATTCTGCTAGTATCATACTTAAGCTGGCCATAGACCTTACAACCATCGCAAGAATTTTGTCTTGCGATGGTTGTATGGTCATTTAAAAAACGTACGATCTGCCCATCTTGGACAGGCAGATCGTACTTGCGATCATCGCAAGCCTGCCCCCGAGGGGCGGGCTTCCAATGACTACAATGCTGAATGGGCAGTGTGCATTTGCGCACATCGGCCCGTTCGGCATTTGTCTCCCGAGCATGCCACAAACCCGCCGACAATCGTACGATTCTCTGCGGGTTTTCAAACATGCTCGTTAGACAAAAGTCGTGGGACCTTACAGTAGCAGAGGTCGCACGCCTTCCATACACCTTGCTATTATCGTACGATCGCGGGATTAGAGAAACAATGGGCTAGATCAGGGGTAGGAAACGATATTTGAAACTACAAAGCCAATCATGTGGCTTTCAGACTCTTGCAATGCCTCATGGGACTTGCAGTTCCACAGCAGATGTAATGCTGAGGTTGCCAACTCCTGGACTTGACTTTACTAAAGAGTTCCGATCATACTGGACGATATTACTAAGACAAAGGAAAGATTTATACACATCCTGGCAGAATGTGTACACTTATAATTATTTGCTATAAGGCAGCTTTTCCACTTCAAAATAAACACTTAATGACACGCGTCATACAAAGTTGCCTTGGCTCATTTTTAAGAAATGTTGCTTGCCTGGCTGTCATGCGGACCCCCTAAGTTCAATCCTTTGGATTACTGACCCAGAAACAACAGGTAAAGACTTCTGAAAGTAAGAAAGTACAAGGCAAATGGCCAGCGTAACAACTAGCAAATAGCATTTTTAGAATCAGCAATAGCAGTCCACTTATTTATCTCATGATAACTTAACTTTAAAGCAGGCCTAAACCTTCTAATGTTTGGTTCTCTCTGGTTACAAGCGGGCCACTTCTTCCAGGCTCGGGACTAAATCACAGCCAATGCCTATGGCCAGATTTGTGTAAAGGTGCTGATTGACTGGTCAAGCTAAATAATCCAATTAGAGCCCCTTCTCACACAGATCTGGCCCCCAGGCCACAGCTGTAATCAGAAGGTAGCCACTCCATCACATTTTGTGACATCATTGGTGTGCGGCTGACTGGGATCATATGACTTTTATAACAGCAATATGTTATAAGTGCAATGTCAAGTTGTAGAACCCTGCTGCGTAGAACAGCAAAATAATAGTGTTTTTTCCTTTATTCAGACACTAGTGATTATGTGTGTAAACCAGTGAGGTTACTCAGGAGTGGGGATGGGCTCGGGCGTGTTCGCAGCTCCACGTGTCGAGCCCGCCAGGAAGCTGGCAGCGCCAATCACAGGTACTGAGACATTTTCCCGGTCCGCAGCTGCAGAGATCGGGAAATGTCTCAGTGCCTGTGATTGGCGCTGCGCGCTGTCAGCAGCTTCCTGGCGGGCTTGGCTGGGGGGGCTGCGAACACGCCCGAGCCCATCCTTACTCAGGAGCACCCTCCCATGCTTGTTCTATGGCATACACCATTATTATTTCCAAATAAAAGCTGCTGGTCTTTCATGTTTGCCACCATCCAGCACATCAAAGAAGAAAAAAAATACAAATTTGGTGTCTTGTTTCTGATCAAATGATGTCTCCAATGTCTGGCTGCCTAAAGGAGAACTCCGCTTAAGCACTAAATTCTGTTAAAAATGTAAAGTGAATAGCTATTTTCAGTGTCTGTATATGCACTGTTTAAAACAATATAATTGCATTTCTGGGCCTGCAGAAGTAATTAGAGGTTGTCTTGTTCCTTTGGGTTAGTGAAACCAGTTAGTCATTACATAATGCAATTCCTCCAAAGCTGATTTCCTTTCAGCTAAAGACTTTAGTATACCGAGAGACACGAGACAGCAATCTGAAGAAACAAATGATTTGCAGTAAAAGAGCACAGACAAAGGATGACAGAAACATTACTCCTTAGAGGTGAACTTTTAGTCCATTATCAGTTGGATGAACATCCCCTTTGCATGCAGCAGGCACCTCCAGTTGATTCCAGAAATCCGCAGATCAATTGCAGAGTGCCCCAGAATCCTAAAAACGCAAGCAAATAGCAACCATGGGGGATGTAGGGGTCACCTTCTGTTTCCTGCATGTTTCTATTGGCCAGTGAGTGTGCTTATTACATTTGGCAGCAAATAGGGAGGCAGAGGCAGACAGACCAAATGCGACCATGCTAGCTCTGGTTGTTGTTTGCACATAAGAGTCAGAAGCACTCACAAAGTAATTTGTGAATACCTGGAGCTGATGGCCCTAATGAATTGGAGCCTCCCTAGCAGGTAACATGAGTGTGATAGTGATTCACATTTACGGTAGCCAGTAGAATCATTTCAGTATTGTCTGGCACCAATCTGTATTTGGAGAACAAATCAACCTGTTCGATGGATAAGATCATTCCCATCTATGAAGAGATTTTTTTGTACAGATGTTTCACAAGTCTGTGCTGTTTTATGCCTACTGGTAAGCATACTCTCTAAGAGTAATAGAGTATGCACTCTAAGAGCAGGGAGAGGGTTGTAGGTTGTAACTTTCAATGTAGGAAATGTGGTAGCTTACCCTGAGCATAGATGCCTTTAAAAAGAACCCGTCAGTGATTTATACCGCATGTACCTGCAAGTATTTATGTTAAAAGTCTATTTCTAGTCAAAACTTCCTTTCAATGAGGACTATCTGTAGGGATTTATTGTCTACGAGAACATGGAGTGACTGATGTTTTGACCGGTGCCGTGTCTAGTTTGGGTTACTCACCTGTGAATGAAGTTCTTCTTCTCTAAATACTCCATAGCAGATGAGATCTGAGTTGCCATATGGAGCAGCACCACGGCTGTCACCTCCTGCCGATTGCAGTCCCGCAGGTAATCCAGCAGGTTACCGTATGTCATGAACTCCGTAATTATATAAAACGGGGGTTCCCGCGTGCAAACCCCTAGAACAAAGCAGGGTAGAGTAAAACATTGATTGAACAATTTTTCTATCAGTGTCATCAGTCACATACTGTATGTATGAGCATGTATAAAGACGGAGTGAGCTCCGTTGAAACGTTGACAATACAATGCTAATGCTTTGACTTATTTCAGCTGCAAGACCTGCGAGTGCCCCATACCTAGTGTGTGTGTGTGTGTGTGTGTATATTATATAGATATATGGTATGGTATGGGAGGAAAGAAAACTTAGGTAACTGTATAAAGCTGGGCCTTTAGTGGGAGCATGTGATAGGAGACTGTCCTTGTGTGAAGTGCATGCAAACTGGAGCTGCTGTAATTGAACCCCCTCCCAACACACTCAGCTGAATGAGGGGCTACTGCTGAATAATAATTTACCATTATGCTGGGAAATCTCTTTGTGGCATTATGAGAGCTGCAGATATTAGCAAGTATACTTTATTGTTCGGGAGTGAACTGCTATATAGCACAATTATTAAAACAGAACTAACAGATAATATGGGGCTGACACATGAAAACTAGATGACACCTCGCTGTAAAGACTGCACAGTTGTGGCCCACCCAGTGGCCATTTTGCTATGTTCACATTGGGGTTCTTTTGTGTAAAGATAGCCAGCAGCAATAAATAATGTTTGTGAGTGTGTGTGGGCACCTATATGTCGCAGCTATATGTTGCATATGCCTACTACATATGCAGTTCTCTGCCTTGCTGATCCTTTTGTCACAAAGAAAGTCTACCAGACATGGCCTGTCTGTTTGAAAACAATAGACTGCAATATCTAATGACTGGGGTAGCCACAGACCTTATGATTTACCTGCCTAGGCTTGGAGGTGAGAAGCAACTGTTTTATTCAGTGAAAGCAAAAGTAGTTTTTTTATTCAAAATATAGTGATGTAGTTCACTGGAAGTGAAGTATAGTGATGTAACCTAATGGAATGAAATGTGAATTATAATCCCCTTTACCTATAAAAATGTGAAGAAAAGTAAAGAAAAGTGAAAAGGAGGCTGCATCTTTAACCGCCCCCCGCCCAAAACACGTTTGTTAACTTTACATACCCAACAATTGCACCAGGTTGGGGTGTTTAACCTCCTTCATCACAGAAGCTTCTTTCAAAAACTCTTCCACTTCCATTGTGTCCTCCTGAAAACAAGGGAGAAAATTAGCAGATTTTCAGGTTCCATTTCAATGGTTTGTTTACAAAGCGCAGAGCTGCTACATGCACTAATAAACATAGGACCCTTTAATCCCACAGCAGATCCTCTGACAGACTCCTATTAAAATGTGCAGCAAAAACATCAGTGGTTGGGTGCAACTATAATAAAGCAGTGTCTGAAGATGATGTAAAACTGCATTCGGTGAATCATTCAAGAAAAGCTCCAGGCAATCACGTATTCCAGCACTCAATATTTACAGAGTAAACAATGTTTTCTACGGCACTCGCACATCAACAGGACCTCGCTGCTAGAGAAATGTCCACATGTCATAGCTACGAGAGGCTCAAGAACCAGTTGGCCACTAGGTGGCAGCAGCTTACAGGACTGTTAAGTTCTATAAATCAATTGATATGAAGACTTTTGTCTCCCCAGGGGTCACTTCCTTTAGAGTAATTAAGATACATAAGGGGTTCTCCACTCCCCACACTAAACTGAAACCATCTCAGCCCTGTTCTAAACCTGGCCATACACTGGTCGATTTTCATAAGAACGTTCATATAAAAAATCTCGTCGGAACATTTAATAATGCCATCAGAGACTTTCCATTTTTTGTCATCACTGCGGTCACAAACGAACCTCGTATTTACCCCATTAACTATTGCAAATTCTACTAGTGTATGACCAGCTCAACATCAGCAAAGACACCGCGCTCATAGCTCCCCAATGAAAAAGTGGCTCAGAACCTACCTATGAGCTCCGAAGCACTTGGCTTTTTATGTAGAACACTAGTGTCAGGTACCTGTTCGCGGGAGATGCCGTGTCCCTCTGCGGGGACATAGACGGAGAGGGTATTCAGCAGCACGTCCCGGCCGCGCAGGCGCAGACGGCAGAAGGCCCAGCGGATTGCGTCCCCGCGCGGCATGACGTAATCGCGTCAGTGCGGCGCGGTGACGTAATCGCGCCGGCGCATGCGCAGTAGCTCATCCTCTGCCTATATAAGGCGCTGCAGGGCGCTCATTCAGTGCTGGGTGATCTTCAGCCAGCACTGGATGTTCGTGCTGTGCTTGTCCTTGTTCCCTGGTCATTTACCCTGCCTTGCTCCTGTTCTTGCCCATTGTGGTTCTTGTTCCCTTGGCTTACTTATTACCGACCCGGCTTGTCTCTGGTTTTCTCTATGGCTTTATCCTTGTACTCTGCTGCTCACTTGTTACCGACCCGGCTTGTCTCTGGATTTCTCTCTGGCTTTATCCTTGTACTCTGCTGCTCACTTGTTACCGACCCGGCTTGTCTCTGGATTTCTCTCTGGCTTTATCCTTGTACTCTGCTGCTCACTTGTTACCGAACCGGCTTGTCTCTGGATTTCTCTCAGGTTTAACCCCTTGTACCGTATTGCCTGCACGCTACTGACCCGGCTAGTCTCCCACGCTCCCTTCTGCCTATACCTTACAAGCACGGCATATTCTCGTACGATCGCGGGATTTCGCCCGATTCTCGTACGAGAATCGAGCAGTGTATGGGCACCTTAAGAGAGGAGGAACAGCTTAGAATGCCTGCCAATTATAACTAGAACACAAGTGAGGGATGAAACCAGGGACGCACAGAGGAGCACATTCCTGCTTCTTAGCTGGAATGTTAAAAGGAGAACTATGAGGTGATTGATTTTCACTCACCTCATAGTTCTAGCCGACGTGTGACAATGAGACTGTCACAGGTCGGCTCAGTAGATCGGAAGGTGAGCGAACATATACCGCCATTCGCTCACCTCTCGATCCTGTCACGGCTCTCTGCCGTGACAGGGGAGGGGCTGGATTCCCCCCTGCCCGCTCCGATCTGCCAGCGCTGACTGGCGGAACGGACGGGGGAGGGTACAGCTGGCTCTGCCTCTAGATAGGCAGAGCCAGCTGTCACTCACGCAGCTGGGCGGATCCAGACATAATTGTCGGGATCCTCTTCAGCTGCGGCGTCTCAGTATCTCGCGAGCCGTAGCTCACCGTATACTGAGCTTAGGGTGACGGGAGGACGTTAGTTTGTGTCCTCCCGTTACCCTAAGGAGAACTATGCGGAAAAGCCCAGACCCCATAGTTCTCCTTTAAAAGGAGATCTATGAGGTGAGTGATTTTCACTCACCTCATAGTTCAAGCCGACGTGTGACAATGAAACTGTCACACGTTGGCTCAATAGATCGGGAAGTGAGCGAACACAAAACAGGATATCAGAGCCAGTTCTCCGTCATTCTAGCAGATTCTACAGGAAACGAAAACCCTTAAACATTAAGGAACAACATCCATTTAAGTGATTTAATCAGCATTATAAATTGCTTAAAAACATTTTGACTTTAATATTACTTTGATAACATTTGCAAAAATCATTGCAATATATGTCGCTGGCTCGAATGAGGGCTTGTTCACACCAAATCCGGACAAGATCTGGATGAGTTTTTGCACATGCAGTGCATTTTGATGTGTTTTTGATGCGTTCCTGTCCGTTTTTTGAGCCTAAAATGGGCTTTCAGGTGAAGTCCAGTGCGTTTCACAACGTTTGCATGCATTTGTTATGCGTTTCTGTGCATTCCAGAGCAGAAAAAGAAATAGTGCCTGCTGCAGTTTTTACACATGCTCTGGAACTGAACCCTAATGTGTGAACTAGAGCCCAAAATACAATTGGAATACATTGGATGCATTTTTGATGCGTTCTTAAACTGCTCTGCACTTGGTTTTTTCTCTTCTTCGACAAAAGTGAATTTTTTTTAACCAAGCCTGCTTTCGGACACAGCAGTGCCATATTCCATATCATGTTACTGACAGTGATCACCCATTCACATTTGTTACGGTCTCCACAGAAGCTTGTACTTTAATGTTCCTCCCCGAGCTACACATACAACCAACAGCCAATTTAGATGAAGACAATTGAAGTTTGGCTGCGTTCACACCAAATCTGTTCCATTTAAAAACCATCAAGTATGTGCGGTTGCAGTGCCATTTCGGCTGGCTTTGGTACAGTTAAAAGGACCTAAATACGCTGATTTGAGGATGCAGGTCTTCAATGCATCACTCTTTTGGTGACATACATTAACACAGCGCAGATAGACTTGTGCACTGCGTCCAAAAAGCAAAACCTTTTCTCGACATGAGCTCCCAAAGTGCAAAGCAATGTGTTTTGACTGAACGCGCACAACGGACGTCTGGGAAGTGCACAAGCTGCGTCAGCATTCAACTCCAATTAGCGCAACTGAAGGAGACCCATGCTTCAAATGAAGCCTCTGGGTAGAGAATACTGTACGCTTACATAATCCTGCATTTGGCGGCATCCTTCACCACAGCAGGTGCTCTGTCCTGAGGCTTCAATTAAATCTACAATGTCAGTGCACCTCCTCTTGAACTGTGCTAAGTTGAGTCTGCATGCTGAGAGGAGTTTAAGCCCTTTTTATATTCTTTTATGCAAGATCCCAACATGTGTGACCCCCGGGTATCTGCAGTCTGACTGGTAACCTACAAAGGTATGGGTCTCCGTGCCATAAGAACATAGGAGAACTATGGGGTAAGTGTTTTTCCTCACAGCTCTCCTAAGGGTCACGGGAGGACATAAACTAGCGTCCTTCCGTGACCAAAGGCTCAGTATTACGCGAGCTACAGCTCGTGGTATACTGAGACCGCAGCAGCCGGGACAGATATCGACATTACTATCAAGATCCACCCATCTGCGTGATTGACAGCTGGCTCTGCCTATCTAGAGGCAGAGCCAGCTGTACCCGCCCCCTCCCCATTCGATCAGTCAGCACTGGAGGATCGGACAGGGGAGGGGGGAAATCCCTGCAGGGAGCTGTGAGTGACGGTCACGGCTCTCTGCAGGGACATGATCGAGAAGTGAGCGAGCGACGGTATGCATTCGCTCACTTCCCGATCTATTGAGCCGGCGTGTGACAGTTTAATTGTCACACGTAGGCTCGAACTATGAGGTTGAGTGAAAATCACTTGCCTCATAGTTCTCCTTTAACATTCCATCTAAAAAGCAGGAATGTGCTCCTCTGTGTGTCCCTAGTTCTCTGACCCTGCTTGTCTGTGACGCACGCCTCTCATTGCAGTCATCGCAAGTACGATCTGCCTGTCCAAGATGGGCGTATTTTTTTTCATTACTTTACAACCCTTGCAAGACAAAAGTCTTGTGAGGGTTGTAAAGTGTATGGCCACCTTACCTCTGTTTAATACTGTAGCTGTCAGATACAAAAACAATAGTAAAAATAAATAAAACATTTAAACTTTTTTATTTTTACATTAAGTCCTTGTTCACACTGGGTGTGTTGCCCGATACAGCGTGAAGGGACATTTTTTTTATGCCCGGAGCTGCAGGAACAAGAGTGAAGGCAGCTCAGGTGAGTCTATGGGTGCAGGAGCTGTGTCTCCTCACACGCTGCTTTCCGCAGCTCCGAGTTCTGACTGCTGCACACAGGCGGTGTGTGGCCTCGGTTACAGACATGATGGATTCAGGTCCGTACACAGTCTGTGTGCAGCTGTCAAAACTCAGAACTGTGGTAAGCAGTGTGCAGTGCTCCTGCATTTCCATAGACTTACATGAGCTGTCAACAGACTTCTTCCTGCAGCTCCAGCCGCATCAATAGAGGGCCCTTCATGCTGTACGGGGCAACAAGCCCCATGTGAATGAAACCTCAATTATGTAGTCAGGCAAAATTAAAGTTATTGTCACGTTAATGATGCATACGGACGCAGATAAATTTGGTCTTGGCATCAATGCCCTTTGGTCATGAAAGATTGAAGCTGAAAGTGGAAACCACAGCATGGGATAGAAACACTCACAAACAAGTTAGAAAACATAAAAAAACTACTGGAACTAAGCTCAGGAACCTGACGTAGTAAGGCACTAATTGCTCACAACTGCTACTCAATGTCAAAAGGAAAAAAAAAGACTTTATTCTGCCAGGCATGAAAATCCCATATTTACAATGACAGAAGCCAAATGTAAAATACATACCTTCAGAGTCTTTACCGCCACAGTCAAGTTATACTTTTTCCACACGCCCTCATAAACTTCTCCATACTGACCGCCGCCCAGCTTGTGCTTCATAGTGATGTCTGTCCTCTCAATCTCCCACTTGTCGTAGTTGGGTGACACACCATAGATAGTGGGCTTGTTACGTTTTGGAGCGGGGTAGTGCAGTGTGGTGATCAGTCCATCGGACACAGTGGAGTGATGGTGGACCAGCTCTGCCAGTGTGTTGAATCGGCTATCTGATGACACATAAAGCTGAGTGCAAGAGAAAAAAAACTGCATTAAAGCGACCCTGTCATAATACAGAAAATAAACATGAAGGACGGACCGGGAAAACAGACTATAAATAATGACCTTTCCGGCTGTCCACGCCACCATACGCTGCCCTAACCATGTCACATTTACATTTAAACACTGTCATTTCCAGAAGTTTGGAAGGTCCCCCACAGCTCTCATTGTTTCTTCCCATCGACCTCTGCAGGAGGAACCAGGAAAAGCTGTGAGTGACCCAGGATATCGACACTCCCAAAGCTGTTGGTCTCCCAGTTCAGAGGATGATTTCTCAGGATCAGAGTCGTGTTCGGCAGTGAGAAAGATAAGTAAACCGCACTCTGTTACAGGTATAGCTTTGCTAAATATTTGGTGTCATTTAAAATAAAGTGAACAACATTTTTGGTGAATAAAGTTTGGCAAAAATGTATATTTATGTAAATTAATGTTCTGTTGTCCTAGAAAGTGCTAAAGAAAAAACAACATTTTTCAGAACAAGGTTACCAATGGCAGCATACAGATATCTACTATGACAGGTTTCCTTTAAAGGAGAACTATTGGGTCAGTGCTTTTCCCCATAGTTCTCCTAAGGGTAACGGAAGGACACAAACTAGCGTCCTCCCGTCACCCAAAGCTCAGTATACCGCAAGCTACAGCTCGCGGTATACTGAGACGCTGCAGCCGGAACGGATCCCAACAATTCTGTCTGGATCCACCCAGCTGCGTGAGTGACAGCTGGCTCTGCCTATGTAGAGGCAGAGCCAGCTGTACCCGCCCCCTCCCCCATTCGATCAGTCAGCACTGGAGGATCGGACAGGGGAGAGGGGAAATCCCTGCAGGGAGCCGTGAGTGACAGTCACGGCTCTCTGCAGGGACAGGATCGAGAAGTGAGCGAGCGACGGTATGTGTTCACTCACTTCCCGATCTATTGAGCCGACGTGTGACAGTTTCATTGTCTCAGGTCGGCTCGAACTATGAGGCTGAGTGATTTTCACTCACCTCATAGTTCTTCTTTACCAAAGCAGGTGACATGTTATGGTTTCCAGGCCATACATGACCATAGTCTCACAGCTACATGTTGATCTCCTCCAGCTCTTGTGGCTATATCTAATATTTTTATTGCACGTTAATTCTTCATGATCTACATAACTGGTAACGTGGTGGGTGTCCTTTGCCTACATACTTTGGGTTAAGAGGTGTCTCTCTGTCATCTCAGAAAGTCGAGAGGTATGCTGTATCTATAGAAAGGCAGCAAGGCCACCATAAAACAGCTAGGAGTGTTTTAGGACAACACCTCCCTCTCTCCTCATCTCCATAACATAGCTGGGAAGGAAAGCTGTAGTCCACAGAGGGAGCTGGGAACAATGTCACTGATAATAGTTCAGCACAGGTAGAGTGTACAGCTAGTTATCATCCCACTGCATTTCTGGCAGGATCAACATTGAACAGATATAAGAATGAGCTTTCAATGGTATAGGCTACAGAACAAAAGAGGAGTTCTTTAGTAGGGTGTACATACGTTTAATGTAAAGAATCCCTTTTCAAGTATAACCATCATGAGAGAATCTCATAGTTTGCCTTTGCTGACCTGCTTTAAAAAAAGTACTGAAGTCATAGAATTCGCATAACTGCCAGGCAATAAGCATGTTCTAATGAAAAGGTCAACACTGGCAGTCTTTATTCTCTCAGCACAGGTTCCCTTTACAGATATATTCAAAAATGATTCTTTTTCTGTGGTATGTGGAAGATGAGAGCTGGCTTATTCTTGCTTTCTTCCCAGAGGTATCATTTTATCATTGCAGATACACTTAAATCTTATTCCAAAGTAATATGCGACTGAGATATTAAAAAACAAAAAAAACGCACATTACCCTTCACATATTGCACTTCTTGGGGCTTCAGGTTCCTTTCTAAGGCTCTCTGGCAAGCCATTAGCAGGGTAAGTCAGTACACCCAAAGCACCATGGTTAGCTACAACAGAACACACTTGACCAATGCAGTTTGTTTTTGTAGGCTCCAGGGCCTTCCTAATACTAGAGGTCATTGACCTGAAAATCAAACAACAACAGTGAATCATGACTGATTAATGACCTGACACTCACAATTTCCGACAATTTCGTGGCTTCTGAAATGAACTAGGCAACCTCTGAACAATGGCAGTAATGAATCTGGCAGGACAATAAAATCTGGGAATCCAAACGGCTACAACGGAATGTGAAGACAAAAATCAAACAAACACGCAGCAGTGACTCCTGCCCACCCCAGCTTTCTGTCAAGGCCGGCTGGTATACTACACACACTATCTGGTATGAATGACAAATGGGCACTCTAGTATGTATGTTGTAACTGACAAGGAGCATATTTGTTAACATTACAAGGGAACTTCAGGATATTCCAGATTATTCTCAAACACCACAATGGTGACACAACTAATACCCTGCAATATGTTTGGTAAAGTGGAATGCTAAACTTTTTATTTTTCAGATACACATAATAAAGAGATCAACCTAAAGAGGAACTTTATCCCCACCCCCCTCCCCCCCCATACTATACTCACATGCCCAGTGAATTCACAGTTGTCTTATGTAAGCAGCTGCTCCATCACAGCATGTCCTGCGCCTGCATCCTCCTGCTGACATCATTAGGGGGGTCAACAGTCTCTTCCCGGTTCTTGTAGTCGACCCCTGATGGTGTGCCACAATGCATGCGCACCAGCAGATGAAACCTCAGCAGTGTGTTAGATGCCTGGTCCATTGCATACTGGGGTTACCTTCACTACTTTGCCTTGTAGCCCCAAAACACGCGTAAACTGTGAACTGTCTGCACGTACTATGGATGAAATTTGAAAAGAGGTAATAACACGCCTCCCGGTTCCTTATTGGTGGGGAAGCCGCCTCCATGCTGATTGGCTGGGAAGTCGGCTTCCCAGCCAAATCAGCATGGTGCCGCCTTCCCGGGCAATCAAGAAACCGGGCGGCGGGTAATGACACGCTGCCCGTCTTTCGGATTGCCCGGGAAACCAGCTCCATGCTACCGAAAGTACCGGTATTGGCGAATACTGAAAGATAAATATCGGTACTCGTACCCGATTGCCCAAAAAACAGTATCGGTGCATCCCTAATATTAAATATTTTTTTCAGGACAAATAAGGCTTTAATTTGGCAGCAAATACAGAATTTTTTTTATTTTCTTGGACTTTTTTTAAATTAGAAAGAGCTATTGTAATTTTTCCCAATAGAATGTATATGTAATATGTGCACCTCCATACATTTACCCTGCAAAAATAAACAACCTCATCTGCTGATTAAAGTGATATCACATTAATGGGACCTATTGTAACGTATTATAATAGCAAAGCTCAAAGTGAACATATGTGTTTTATTTTAGGAGAACTTTATTCCCCTTTGGCCACTACGCAGGAAAAAAAAGTTTGCGTAAACGGCTAGCATAACATTAAGGTCAGATTAAATTGGGTTGACGAAGGCACACTCTCACATGTTTGTGATCGCTAAAAATTATAATGACATTCCATTCACTTGCCATGTGGGCATTTGATGCTTGCGCAGTCAATGTAAATGTCATCCAGATCATTCGATGTCAATGTTGTGACCAGGGGAGGGATTATATATGCACATATACGGTGTGTATGTGTTTACACACACACACACACTATTCTGTTTTTTTTTAACTTGGGGTCCCTCCTAACTTTCCTACCAGACCTAAAGGGTCTTATATGGTTTGGTAGGGGAACCCCACGCTGTTATTTTTTCTTTTAGTAACATGTAATTTTTTTATTCTCGGAGTGAGGCGGGCAAATTAACCGAGCCGTAGATGAGCTCGGTAAGGAAACTTTTAGAAAACATTTTTGGAACGTTTCCTTAACCACAAAGCTGGCCATACACATTGCATACTTCAGTCAATTTACAGTGACATTAAAGTATTTTTTTACATACATCTACTACTAGCAAGCAGTAGACATATACAAAAAAATGTTTTTAAATTAAAAAGGTAATTTTTTAAAGTTACATTTTCTGTGTCTCTTCCGCTCGCTCGTGGCTGTAGGAGGATGTGTGCAGGCGCATGCACAGTGGAGATCACTGGCGGGGAGAGGAGGAGAGCTACAGTGTCAGTCAATGCACGCCGAACAGACTCCGTGGGACGAGACAGCAGTCTGTGCTGGATCAGAGACCAGCCTTGAGGGACTGCTGAAAACGACTGGAAGGGAGAAGATGTTCGGATCGAGAGGTATCAGTAAGTCCTTAAAGCAGCATTGGGGGGGTGAATTGACTTTAATGTCATTTTAATCTACTGCCCATTCCATATACAATCACAGACACTAAGCAATCTACCACCCATTGCTTTTGATTGATCACCACAATTGGGAAGTCGAAACTGGACAATAAATTGTCAGCTACATTACAGTTTAAAATGAAATTAAAAGTTCAACTGCTCCATCAAATTCTCATTGATTTCCATTGATACGGCCAGCTTCAGACTGGGAGAATGTCATCTGATGTGTGGGCACCTCTTATTTAAAGAACATTAAATTAACTGCGCTCTTTCTCGTTCCCCTCCTTCGACCTCTCTCTTGCACAAACAATTTAGAGTCATGCAATCCCATTAGGCTAGGGCTCGACAAATTCAAGGCGCCAGGTCGCCAATGCGACTAGAAATTGCATCCTGGTGCCTGGGCTTTGTCAACCCATTTACTGCACCTTCGTTTCTTCTCCCACCGCCGCTGCAATAAATCTGCCGTTCTCCCTGCTGCAGACTCTCAGCGGTCTCTCCTCACAAGGACACAGATTGACAGCAGGCAGGGGGGGCAATAGCCAGCTTGCTATTGCAATCTGAAATAGCCAATAGGCTAGCTATTGCTCCCAGCCACTGCCTGCTGTGTTTTTATTCAGCTGCCTCAGCAAGCAGCTGTCATTCCCCAGCTAAAGCTATTGAAGTGGAAAGGTGACACTAGGGGTCTAGTAGACCCC